TCTGTAAAGTTTTACAGCCTTAGAAACCCTATGGGGCAGTTCTATTTTGTCCTATAGGGTCACTATGAGTTGGAATTGACTCAATAGCAGTGGGTTAGTTTTTTTTGGACTTCACTAATACATCCTATGAGGAAACCCTTGTGGCATAGTGGTTAAGTGCTACAGCTGCTAAGCAAAAGGTTAGCCGTTCGAATTCACCAGGGGCTCCTGGAAACTCTATGGGGCAGCTCTACTCTGTCCTATAGTATTGCTATGAGTCAGAATGGACTCGACAGCAATGGGAATAAACCCCATAACTGTGAGTATGGTCTGTGAGTTGTGTGGCCACTGCAAGGAATTATCAAAACCAGCAGAGAAGTAGGGAGTGCCATGGGAGAGGTGGCTGGTGTTAGAACTGGTACAAAGGTTGGAGAGAGGAGGTATGTCTGACCTATGCCTCACAGGAATTAGCTTTGGGCTGATGCAATGGTGATTCTCTCTCCCCCTCCTGAAGTTAGAGGAGGTCAGATGCCCACCCCCCACACCATTTTTACAGGGGGCCCACTCCCAGATTGGTTGCTGGGGAAAGTAGGAAGCTCTTTCACTACTTCCCCCCAGGCTGGAGCAAGGAAGATGAAAACCTCCTTCCTAGAGGCCATTTCAAACTGACCGGTGCCAAAGCTGACCTCAGCCCAGGGTAACTGCTGATGCCCACCCCCACTCTTGCAGGGCCCCCTATACCCTCCACCTTACCTTTTGTCTCTCCATCTCCTGAGCTCTGTGGAAGGGGTAGCCACCTCAGTCTCAGGGACCCCACCCCAGGCCTGCCCTAGGCATGCTGGGCCTGGCTCTAGAGGGCAGGGGCGAGGCTCAGGAAATCCTTTGACCGCCCCAGCCGAGAGAACCAGAGCCAAAGGCCTGAGCAAACAAAGATCCCATGGAGCTAGGGGCCCGGCCACCAGGGTCCTGAGTCACCCTGCTGCTGCTGGGCGGAGGCTCGCAGGAAATAGGAAAATGTGTACAAGCCACCTCTGGAACAAGCAGACAGACGGACCTCCGCAGGAAGGGGGTGGGAGGGGGTGGACGCAGCCTTGAGGGCTCCCTAAGCGTTTGGGGTAGGAGGAGCTCAAGTAGTCTCTGCCTCACCTGTGAACATACCCCATGGTCCTGTCTGCTCTGTGCTGGGACCCTATCTTGTATACACACGTTTGCTCTGGGCTAGAGCACCTCCCCAGTAACAGACGCACACACAGCCTTGGGCCCCTGTGCCCACTGGCACAGACCGCCAGCTCTGGGCCGGAACTCTGCCGCCCTCCGCGTTCTGAGCTGGAACTCTCTGTGTGCCTGGAGGTTCGGCCCCGGTGCTGGACTAGGCCATACCCTCGAGTACAGTCCCCGCGCGCCTCGTGTGCTCAGAGAAGCACCCCGCAGGTGCGCGGACTGGCCCCCTCCTGGGACCCCTCTCCACGCGCACACAGCGTCTTCATCTCCACGACCCCTCCCCAAGTGCCCACACGGACCCTTTTTGCTTTCCCGGTTAATTCATACTGGCCCTGGTGTCCCGCCTGGAAAAACCGATTTTAGGAAACTTTAGGGCCTACCCAGGTGGCTCTGATTGAGGCTTCAGAAGTGCTCATGGGCTGGCCTGACTAGAGGCTCTGAGTCACCTCGTGGTTGATTGACGGAAATTTCCCAGGACATGAACGACTTAACCTCAGTGCGCAGGTCTTCACTGCGAAGATGTAGCGGAGCCCGGGGCAGGGGCTGGGATACCGGGAGGGGTGGGGGTTGTGGATTTAGGGAACGGGACTTGTGGCGCGGCCGGAGCTTTCCCCGCACCCCCTTAGCCCCCGCCCGCGGCCCGGCCTCTCCGGGTGCAGTTCACCTGCCGCGGCGCCCCCTCCTCCATGGCGCCGCTCGGGCCCCTCCTCTCGACTACTCCGGTTCCGGAAGCCCCGGCTGCTCTTCCAGGACTTTCAAACTTGAAACTTCCCGGGAAGCGGCGTTGGAGAAGCGGGATCGGGCGCCCCCTCCTGAGATCCGCTGGCCCTCCCGAGACCTTGGGATTAGCGCCGCCTCTTGGCCGCGCGGGATCAGCGCCCCAGATTCCGCTCCTGAAATCTGAGGCCCGAGTGCCTCCCTCCCCCGAGGCGGATTTTAGACCCCACGCACCCTCTTCTGAGGCCGCAGTTCCCGCTCTATTCGGTGACCCCCGCCCGGAATGGAGGGCGCAAAGGAAGCATTTCCCCGGCCCTGGTTCCCTTGCGTTGCAGTGCCGCGCACTCAAGAGAGGCGGAGCCGGGTGAGGAAAGGCCCTTTGGTACATAGTTGTTGTTAGTTGCCTTCTGTACTTAGTAGACTCTTTAAAATGGGGGATCAAGTTGTCCTGAGCTGAATGTTAATAATTATTCATATATAATTCATAAATAAAAAGGGTTTCAGCTTCTGATAGCAGCTCATCGGTTTGAGAGAAACCCTTTAATCAAACTAGCAAGCTTCCCTCTTTCAGGAATTATCCAATAAGCCATCAAGTCAACCAGCACAATGCTAATTAACATTTAAAAATACGTATTTGACTGGATGCTGAATGCTTCTGCAAGCCAAATGGGTTACCTGATTCAACTCTCCATAGGAGGGTGTTTCCCGTCTCTAGGATCATTTATCCACCCCGTGCAGCCAGGAAGCTGAATTATGTGGAAGAACTCAAGATTGTTTTCCTGTGAAATGTTTCACTGCCTCATAGGTCACTTAAGGGAAAGGAGTTCAGAAGTAACAGGATCCATTCGCCTCTCACTTTCTAATGCACCCGAGAGGGGCAAAAGCAAAGCTCCTATGGTGTCCATACCTGGGCTGATGGATAAAGTATGACCAGAGAGCTGTATCTTGTGTCTGATGGTGATAATTCATGGGACTGTAATTCTTAGGAAAACTGAAGTTCATGCTCAACACCTAGTGGATAGTGAGTAGTGCAAACCAACGCTCTAATAAATTGACTGTTGAAAGACTGTACAGTCTGAAAGGAATCTACGACTTCCTAGCAGCCTACATAAGGTAACGTTTTCCCTCTTCCTCTACACATATTTTTTCTTAGCATTGCAACTATCAGTCTGTCTACCTTTAGATTTGCGTCTCTTGGGTAGAATGAGTACACAATGTCACCAATCAGTTGACACACACCTTCCACTTTTAAGTTCTTCATTATTCTTGTTCTCGTCACAAAAAGGCAGTCCTTTTCCTCAGACCTGTTAAAGACTAAATTTGTATGCCTTCACAATCACAGCCATATTTAAAAAAGGAATGGTTGCTGCTGGGGGGGAAGGGGATTACACCTTCCAAATGCCAAGATGTTGTTCTCTATATAAACAAGTGGAGTGGCTGAAGAACTTGTCCCAGCCTTAAGGAAATCCTGAAGTTTTCATCCTTTACAACAGAATTCTGTATTTGCAAAGACCAGAGAAGGTTCATAGCAAAATCTAACAAGAAGAGCAGAAAAATCAAACATGTTTATGGGACCAAGTGAAACCATGAAATGAAGTATGTGCGTTATAAAACAGTAATTGGTACAGGTTACCAAATGAATCCAGAAACAATCAGAATAAAAAACTCATATGCCTTTTAGGAGCCAAGCAAGTGAAGCAAGCCAGCCACATGTAAAGCACATCTGTCAGCCAATAGAAGTCCAGGTGCTCTGTGGACCATTTAAACTACATTTTAAGAGCCAGAGTTGGGTGAAATATAGAGGGTGCTGGCATGTACGGAGGTAACCAAAAACCAGATGAGTCAATTCCAACTCATAGTGACCCTAAAGGACAGGGTAGAACTACCCCATAGTGTTTCCAAGGAGTGGTTGGTGGATTCAAACTGTCGACCTTTCGGTTAGCAGCCAAGCTCTTAGCCACTACACCACCAGGGCTCCTATGGAAGTAGGGTAATCCAATTAAATGTCTTATTTGAAATCAGGACATCATTGAAGAAACAGTAACCTCAGCAACTGCAGGGAGTCTGGAACAGAACATTTCTTAAGTTTTTTGAACTAAATAAGGACACATTACAGGTTGCTGTCCTATCTTCCCAATGCATGCAGTTATTAAATTCCCCTCCTAAGTATGGCACAGCTTTAGAGGAACATGCCCTCTTTCCACAGAAACTACCTAAAAAGCCACTGTTTGCCTTTTTCTTTTATAAATGTCCTTGTAGCAAAGGGGCTTTGAGCCATTCATCCAACTTTCCTAATACACACTTGCCTGAAGTTTGGCCTAAGAACTCCTCTGGCAACCGGGCAGGAAGTACACTAGCTACTCTGTAGCAGTATTTCAGGAGGCTAAGACTGTCTTTTTGCTTCCTCACAGCCTATCACTTTTACAAGATTTTCAGACACAAGGGAGTCTAGAAAGTTGATTCTGACTCATCGCAACCCTACAGGACACAGTAGAACCCATCCAATGGGGTTTCCAATGAGTGGCTGGTAGATTCAAACTGTTGACCTTTTGGTTAGCAGCTAACTCTTAACCACTGTATCACCAGGGCTCCCAGAATAATACTCAGGGGCAAACTACTACCTTGAAGGTCTCCCACTTTCTCAGATCACAAAGATATGAAATTTGCTTAAATGTGACATAACCTAACTGCCCCACAATATAACCGGTACATAAATCTTGTAGTTGTGGTAAACTGTTACCTTTGTGAAACAGAATCCCAGGCTTACTCAATGGGTATTAATTCAGACTTTTTTCCCTAGGGAAAGTCCTTTAAATACTGAGAAATATTTAAAATACCCCATCTCCTCAGTGTTTACTCACCAGTCCAAGTAACATTTAGTAGTTTGTCCACCATTTCCTGTACTCACCAGCTCAAACCTTTTCACATAAATGTATCTATTTGAAGTTTTCCCACACCTCCCCCCCTTCCCCAAGTCACTAAGGATGACATTAACAAGCCAAAAATACTAGCTTACCACCATCTACAGCCAAAAGCAAGTAAAGTTTCTCTACAAAACAAGGAGAATGACCCCAGTCAAAAAAAAATCTTTATGTTCCTTTATTGGAGCAAGATTCCTGACCGGTACAGTGATGTATTTACTAAACATAGAGACCTGTGCAGAGAAATTACATACTATCCATCTAAACAAGTTTCGTTACACTTTGCCTCTTGATGGAATATAGTCCCATTTATAAAGTTTTATACATCAAAAGTTTTGAATTTGACCAGGCTGGCCATTGATTCATCTCTGAAAACGTAAGTGGCATTGATTTAGCTACATATTTTACAGCATTAAAAAAGCTTATGCATTAGGTAGCTTCTCAAAATGTTATTATATGCACAATGGCATTTAGCAGACCAAGCAGAGTCCATCATCTCACCCAGATTCACATAGATGAGTCTCATTTGAGATAGCTTTATGCGAGAGCTGGTACTTGAGACAAAGGAAAGTACTCCTAACCTGAGTTTCTCACCACCAACACGGACTTATACCGAAAGCCTGTCTTCTAAGACACAAGCTATAGTGCCAGTGAAGACATGCCAGCAACTGCCCCGTGTGTGACTCGGCATTAGAGCACCAGGTCTGATGGTGGTGGCAGGCACTATTATCATTATTACATCCCGGTAAATAAGGGCCCATTTTTAAAAAATGCCATTAGAGATAAAAACCAAGGGTACACATACTGAGTTTTGCATAATCTGGTATCCCCAATGATGTGAACATTTCTAGAAACCGATGGCAAACTGTACCCAATGTATCCCAGCTATGGAGCCTTTAATATATTGACTCAAATCCCTTTACTCAGTCCACATAGCCCTGAGGTCATCCTGCAAAGTGCGTATAAAAATATACGGAGTTAAGGTGATAGTTTGACAGTAATGTTAAACAAGTCAAACTTGGACGTCTTAAGTTATCTGTTCTGAGAGAAAAGCATCAAATCCTTTGTGTACACATTTAGTTTTATTGTAACAAAGCAACTTGTACACTTTTAACGTTTAAAACTGAGCATCATGTTTCCTTTCCAGTGAAAACAAAAAGAAAATTTAAAAATAAACAGGAACAAAATTACAATAGAGAATGTCAATTCCAAATTAAGATCCTACAGGTTCTGCTGATTCTCCCATCAAGTGGCAGGGCTCAAGTCATCATTAGGAGAGAATTTTATTTTAAAAGTGTCATCTTAAACTGCAAGGATGTCCGTTAAACATCACAATTAAACATGCCAAAGGAGAAGCCATGTTGTCAAAATGCCCACTTAACCCACCCAAACATCTCAAACCCACCCTTTGCTGACCTTCTATAACCCCATTTTTTTTTTAAGTTTTTTTTTCTTTTTTTAAACAAGAGAAAGTAGACAGATACATGTTGGTAAATGCTGACTGTCCATATTCACATAGAGACACAGTGTAATCTCTGAGCCCAATATACAGAGAAAGGAGGAAAAAAGCTAGAATTCTATGCACTACTACACAGGGGCCTAGCACCCTCCAGCTTCCAGCAGAGTGAAGGGAGCAGAAGGTTTTTCTTTTTTCCCACAGAGCATGGTGGTGTGTTGATTCCATAGTTTTTCTTGAGACAGGAAGAGATAAAAATTAATTTGGAACAGAAAGGGATAGAGATTCTTTTCCCACTGTATTCTGCTCAAGTTATTTCCCCCCAAAATAAGTTGAGAACCATGGTGTAGAGGAGAGAAGAGAGACCTCAAGAACAGGGTTGACTGAGCACAAGAGGGGGAGGGAAGGAAAAAAAAAACAAAAAAAAAAGACTGCAACTTGCTCCCAGGGACTGAAGAAAATTAAAAAAGGAAGGTTGGAATCCATCAGTGTTCTATTAGTCATCTTCTCCTTCGTCCTCCTGTAAGAAAAAAAGTGGGCATTGATTTCAAGTTTATTTCTAAGGCCACTCGCTAGCTCCACAGACCATGATGACAGAACATAAGGGTAACATGCTACGGGGAACCTAATTTTCTGAACCTGAACATCAATCTGCATGGAATCTAGGTTGAAATACCCAGTGCTACTGTTTCAGATAATCAGTGACTTTTCAGCACCAACCAAATCACTGGACATTATTTCAGACCAAATAATTCAAACTGAAATAAAAACTTAACCTAACTATTCAAGAATTTTATAGTTTACAGACTTTTGGTATTTGGGACATTTCTCAGAATTTGACCAGCTGCATTATCTCTATCACTTAAGTACTGATTAGGGAAAGACAGGCTTGGGTAACCATAAAAGCGAACCCCAAAAGCAGAACTGAATACAATGAGATTATCAAAACTTCACTGACTCTTGGACAGTAAATGGCTTGTCTTTTCTACAAATCTTCATGCAAACAATTGGTTCTGGGTCGGTTCCATTATACAATACCTACAACCCCACCCCCAAGTAACAGAAAATTCATCAGTTCGGCTCTTAATGCGTATCAAGACTCTAGTCTTTTGGATTTAGCTAATTTTCCTTTTACCTCTCCTTCCTCTCCCTCATCATCATCTTCATCTTCTTCCCCTTCATCTTCATCCCCTTCTTCATCAATATCTTCCAAACCTTCTTCTTCTTCATCATCATCATCATCTTCTTCTCCTTCCCCTTCTTCATCATCCATATCAGGAACCTTAAAATTAAAAACAAGAGTTACATTGAGAACTCATCTTCAATCAAACAAGGCAAGTGCAACCTTAAATGCAAGAATATTCTGTTACGTGTATTTTAACCTCACACACACACAAGAACATTCTCAACTCACCAAATAGTACTGTAATGGATTTGGCCAAATATCATCTTTGATGACCTCTCCTAATTCATCTGCACCTGCATCAGAATGGTCAGTAAACCAGGTAAAGAAGCTCTCTGGTTCTTCATGCTGCCTCTTCCTGCTGGCTTTGTTCTGCGTTTGACTTGAACGTTTCGTCAAGTCCTAAATGAAGATGAAAAAAAAATTCTGACATAGATGCTTTATAACACTTAAACTTCCTATGATCACAATAAAATTTTCTCCAGAAACAGAATAAAAATAGACATCAGTATATTATCAACACTACTATCATCATCCAAGAACTATAAAATGTACGGTAGGTTAAAAAAAAAAAAAAAAAAAAAGGCCTAAAATTCTAGGTCCACAAGATTGTGTTGTCCTCAAATTTTTATGACAAGCTTTTCCTGAAGAAAAAATAGCAAAACTAATTTTGGCCTTTTCATAAAATTTGGTCCATTTTAAATAACCACTACCGCAATATAATTTTAAACACATCTTACCCTTATCCACTGCAGACAAATGGATTTGGGGAAATAGTAAACCATTTGAAGAGCTCGATTGCCAATAGAGAAACCCCCAAAATTTAGTCTGATTCTTAAACCAAATTGCACTGCAATTTATAACAATAGCTCTAAGCTACTACATTTGGCTTTATCACACTGAGTTTTTAATATATATTTTTTGGTATTTAACATATTGCTAAAGCACTAAGAATTTTAAGTGTTTCAACTAAACCAAAACATTATTTTTGCCCAACAAGTCCTCAAAACATACCTTTCCAGATTTCCATTTGATTTCAGTTGATTTTGAGGATGGATCACCACTCTCATTCAGATGAAATTCTTTGGAAAGAACTTTATTTTCGAAGTAAGGATTTTCATCAAAATACTGTAATAAGTGATTGGAGGATAAGAAATCAATACAAACAGCTCTTCCAGCCAAAACTCAAAGTTAACTTCCATAATGGCAAACAAACTAAATTACTGATACTTACAAAATCTATTCTGTAACCTGATTTAATATCTTCAAATTCTGTCACTTCAACTCTGGTCAAATAATGCAGCGCCTCTTCATCCTCTTCCCCAAGTAATGCAGACACTAGAGCAACAAATTATAGGTCAATTAAATTTTTAACTAACAAACATTAACAACCAACTTAAGTGATCTCTTTAAAAAATTTCTCACATTCAGTGAACATCTTTGGTTTCATAAATCCACTACTAACCAAAGAAAACCAAATGGTTCTTAAATACTTCAGAGTTATCAAAGCTGTCACCTTCTTTTATCAAAAAATTAACAAAGAGTTCCAATTTAAAATATAGCATCTTTTAAATAGGTAGAAAACATTATTATCTGCAAATCTTTTCCTCTCTTTCAACCTGTGCATGCAAACCAGCATGTCAGACAAAAGCCTCATCAAGGTCCCTCCACTCTAATGCATTAACACTTTTGTGTTATTTAATAATGCTCTGCAAACCATTTGGGGGAAGGGGCCATACCTTGTGGATGGTTGACAAATGTTGTTACCCAAAAATTTGGGATTTTGGCGATCAATTCTGACCTCTTCTGAAAGAACGGTTGGCGGAGTTTGTTATATTTTTGTTCTACTTTCAAAATCTCCTCACTGGCTTGTTCATTAAGTCTGAAACAAATGAACACATACGGACAATAAAGAGACTTGTCAAATCCAAAATTTGGTGAGGCCACAAACTGAGTATTTACTCTTATCAGCTTTATACCAGTGCAAAGTGCTTATTTATAATAAACTAATTTCTTGTAGCTAAAGAAACTCAGAAGTCAAAACTATGATGGTTTTTGGCAAGTAGCTCACCCTGCGCTTTCCCATAAGCACTCAATAACGTAGTTCTTAAACTGCTTAAACTCAGCATTTTGGTAACATTGTACATTTACTTCATCTGCTATTACCAGGTCAACTTCAATTGCTTTCCTCAAGCAGGATTTTTCAATAAAGCTCCTGGTCAAGTAACAAAGTTATAAAGCAAGTCAAAGCAATACTGATGCCATAACACTAAACTATCAGAAGTCTACACACTACAATTCAGACAACTTGTAGCTTTCAAAAGCAATCTCAATCTTTGCAAGGTCAATGTACCTTTATCAAATATTTTTTGGTGACTGTACAAATTGCTGGACAGAAAAATAACACTGAATCGCCATAGTATTTCCAACCAAGTTATAATCATCTCTTATTTACTGGATACAAATTTAGCTGACCATAGTTTCAACGACTACTATGCCGTTAGATGCATCCCAGAAAAGACCTCCAAAGTAGATTAAGAAAAACTTTACCTGTCTATTTCATTTTGTACTTCATCAATATGTTCAATTGCTTCCTGCTGTTCTTTTTCTGCAAGAAAAAGTTGCATAAGGCTCAATACTAATTACAAAATGAGTTTAAATAGTTTATCTTAAAAAACAAGAACTATATTACATTTAACTAGCTTTCCTAATGTTAAGAAACACCGTCTATGGTATGTGAGTTGTATCTCAATAAAGCTGTTAAAAAAAACAGCAACAACACTGTCTACAAGGCATGCTCTCCACGTGTTCATGCATTTAATTGGCAAATTACTTTTTAATTAAAAGGCCTTTCAAATCATGCTATCCGTTAGACTACTTAGAAAATGTTTTTGACTATAGTACGTAAAAATTGCTGGAAAAAGAGACTTACTACTAAAGCTTCTATTATGAAAAATGAGAAATAACCTTAATAAAAAATTCTTGATACTAATTGTTCATCACATTACATACCTGTAATAAAATATCGGTCGCTAACCAAGAATACAGAAACCAACCCCCACGACAATAAGCATTAGGGCACCACCAATAGAAAAGTTGAGGATTCTACTCAATATCTATTACAACTACGACATCAGACACACCTACAAAGACAGGTCAGGCACTCGCAACAGTCGTGAACACTCGACTTACGAATACGGTAAACCCCAGGATTTGAATCTGACCTTTCCATCCCTCAACCCAAATTCAGGCGAGCTGCTTGTTTCAGACACGGCTCACACAACTATGGAGCACACTTACAGAGACCAACCGTTAAGTCAGAAAACTATGAAGCACAGAAAGGAGCTGATGAAAAGGGAGTGGTGCTATGGAGAAGATGCCCTTTTTGTCCGGTAAGGACTGCAAAACCTACAAACCCAAGTGGGCGTGAAGGGGCCTGGTTTGGCGGTTCATTTCCGGCAACCATTCGGCGGTTTGCAGCCCCCCTACCGTGAATGCCTTTACAGAATAGGCTAGAATGTTTTCCAACAGACATTTTAAAGCCCCTCCGATACCCTGGCCGCCCGCACTAGGTTTCTCAGCACGCCGCCGCGACGGGTGGCCACCCCACGTGGGGAGTGCACCCGGGCCCGGCCAGAGCATCCTCCCGGTCGGACCAGGCCCAGTGCGCGGCCGGCCGCGTGGTGCCCCGCGCCCCCACCCCGCCCAACCTCGAGGCACAAGGCCGCGCCGC